GTTCTGTTCTGTGGCTCAGCAGCCCACCATTCCAGATTGCTTCTGTGCCCCACCCACAGTCTCCATTAGCTTTCACCCACACCTCATGGGCCTGAAATCTTGTCCCACGTCAGTAAATGCCCCCTCTCATGTCCATGTGGGTGAGACACCAGGGCCATATTTTCTGGGCCACCTACTTCCAAGATGGCACCAACGTGGCTAACTCTCCACAGCTCCCTCTCTGTAGCTAACAGTCTGGAGCCAATTCTCTGCAGCAGGCCCACTCCTCCTTCAGAGGAATAAGTGCCCCTCAGGACACAGCCTACTTGACGATGTGAGAGCCTAAGTTCTGTTCCTCTTCCAGCCACCTCCGCCACCATGCCTCCCCACCAAGATGGGATCTTGCCCCTTTGAAACCATAAGTTCAAATAAACTCTTCCTTATATAGGTTGCTTTGTTCAGTGTTTCTATCACAGCAACAGAAAAGTGTCTGTCTGATACATTAGGTCTGTCAAGTTGACAACTAACACTATCCAGCATACGCCTTAAAAAGACAATCAAATGAACTGTTCATGGAAGGAAAGTAAGCTTACTAGACCCACTGCAGAGCCAGAGAACACCAGGAACCAGAGTTATGGGAATGTTTCAGAAAATGAGATGGGCAGAAAATATCAACAGGGTCTGCAGTTCGATATCTGTCTTTGTGCGGTAAGGAACTGGTTAGAAATGGGAGTAGTTGGGTCTGGAGAGATGGCTCAGTGCTTGCTGCTCTTTCAGAAGATCAGAGTTTGGTCCTGGCATCCATGTCAGGTATCACACAACCACCTGCAACTCCAGCTCCATGTGATCTGGGCCCTTCTCTGGCCTCTACCAACAGAGACACATAGATGCGTGCGCGCGCGCGCGCACACACACACACACACACACACACACACACACACACACAAATAAAAATAATATTTTAAAAAATGGGTGCATTAATTTTGAATTTAGGGTTGGGGAATACAATGATGGAGCATTTAAAGCCTGTCTTCCTAAATAAGCTATTGCTTGATAAATAAACTATTTGCTGAGTAGTCCTGAGAGAACAGCTATTTTGCCAAGAGAACAAATTCTTTCCCTATAAAAAGTGATTTACAGGAATTTCTTAAGACAAAAATTAAATTCTTGGTGATTAGTTTACAACCTGTGATAATCTTCACAGAGGTCAACCTGACTGGATTTTGGAATCACCTAGGGGACACAATCCTGGGCTTACCTCAGAAAGCTCACTCTAAATGTTGGCTGGGTAGACAGACAAAATAAAGAGAAAAGAGAAGCAGGAAAGCCTAAAGAAGAGCAGAATTCATCTCTGTTTCCTGACTGCACATGCAATGAAACCAGCCGCTTCGCACTCTTACCATAATGAAATGGAAAGCATTGAGATGAAAAACCTACTTCTAAGGGCACCCCATGCCCCCCAACATGCCATGGCCCAGGGTCCAGAGAAGATGGGCCTCTCCTTACATCCTGGGATCCAGAAGAGAGTGCAGTCTTCCTTGTGCACTAAGAGTTTATTATTATTATTGTTATTATTATTATTATTATTATTTTATTGTTTTCCCTTAGGGGAGGGGGAAGTGGTTTGAGACTGAGGTTGTGTCATCTCAGGCAGCTGCAGGATTGGTTTCCCAATGAAGAGGGTCAGTCATGCAGGACTCAGGTCCAGGGAGTACCCTGTGATTGGGACTGAGTCATATTAGGGAGGCTAGTGGGGGCAAGGATGTTATGAGACATAGTCTTCCAGGAAAGCAGCCAGGGACTGGTGACCATGAGAGAAGTACTCAGGACCTCAGATCTCTCCTTCACAACCTTGTTTTCCCTCCATACAGACTGAATCCTTTCAAACCATAAGCCAGAATAAATCCTCCCTTTCTCCACTAAGTTATTTGGTATCAAGTACTTGGTCACAACCATGAGAAGGGTAATTAATGAACAGCAAGAATTTCTAACTATAAATGTTTAACTTGTGATGGCACAATATTATGATCTTCGTTATTAACCATGTTTAAATTGTACAAATGTTTCCATCTGGGTACATAACCTGTCACATTAGTTTCCATGTATTCCAAAAGAAATTGGGAAACAGAAATTGGTAAAGGAAAATGGATTTATTTATATACAATTTGGTAGGCCAGACCAAATGTGTTAAGTGGTCCGAGGGTCTCAGGAACGTTCTAGTTTCTCCCCATCCACTTCTGTAGCAATCTTACAATTTATAATTAACATGAAGCAAAGGCCAGAAGATAGGGAGATTTAGATGTGAAACAGTTTAATCATTCTTTTCATGGAGGACGGCCCCTGGCCCTCGGGTTCCCTGCATTGTCTCTATTCCCAGCAGGATGCCTCTATACTCACCATGGAGAGTCTGTAACATGCTTACAAGTTACGCATTCAAAGAGACAGATTTGTATTCAAACTGAGGCCTAAGAAACCTGGCATTCCATCTCAAGGATGACCCATGTACTAAAGGGGAACAGAGTCTTTGGGGCTTAATGTGATGAGGAGTGGAAGATCCCTATTCATCCTGTCCTAAAGGAATGCTTTGTCTACCGAGTCCCTTTATAGATGGAGAACAGGGGCTCGTGTATCTTTTCTTTGGAGGTCAACTTCAAGCTCTGACTCTACCATACCTGTTAAATGCATTTATTTTACTGCTGACTGAGGAGTCTGTCACAGATACACAAGAGTAGTCATAGAAGTCAGGTTTTATTAAACAAAACTGACACGAGGACATTGTTTGGGGCTAAGGTCCCACAATCACTATCCCCAGATTAGGCTAAAAATCAAAATAGAGTCACTCATGCTGAAGTTCTACATCACCAAGCTCAAACTAAGCTGTTTATCTGACCTTCCCAGAAATCAGGATTAGAGAGATAACAGCCAAATTTCCCCAATAGGCCAGCTCCAGTTGGCATGGTAATAAGCTTCCCTGTGCCTTAATCCTTACACGCACACACACACACACACACACACACACACACACACACGACAACTTGTTGATAACTAATCCATTATTTTTCTATTCTTCTCTTTTCTGGTCCCTGCCTTACACTGAAGGAAACTTTGCAGGGGCCAATCAGCTTTGTACTTTTTGTTTTCACTTCCTCCAGCCTTTTCTATCTGTAAAACCAAGCTTCCCTACACAGCTCATTGGAGCATTTATTAGAGTTTATAGAATGAAGACATGCCAATTAAGATCTTTAAAAAAAAAAACCCAGTACCTTTAAATGATCATTTTATTACCTATGGAGAAGACAGAGTCAAGTTGGAATTACACCAAAATAACACTGACCTTTAAAAATTGTGCTTTAAAAACTTTGTGTTTAATTTCACATGAGACTATGCTATTTTTAACCATAAAAAGTTGGAGCAGTATTTTTTTCCTTGTATTGGCTACAGGGAGTGAAATGTATAGTCCAGAAACCATCAAAATATGTGTCACTATGACATGGAGAGAAAGGCCAGCTGCTGTCAGAAGTGAAGTCGTGGCCAGGCCATCAGCCCACCTACCTTGTAGAGTTTGACTGGAGTACTTATGCCAGACATGTCAAATCATTGTTGTCTGAGCAGGCAGGCTCTCCAGGGATGATTTATTTTAATGAATTCACCTTCACCAAGCTTAAGGGAAACACAGGAAATGACAGAGTTTTCCAGAAGGACCTGTGTTGTCCATTGGCTTACAAGATGCCTGAGAAGAGAACAGAATGAGGCCTACGCTTTTGTGCCTTTGATGGGCTGCACACAGTAAAAGCCCAATATTATTTACAGGTAGAATGCTCATATATGTTAGAATGACCTTATTAAGTTTCTTCTAGATCACCATTGACTTTCTTTCAAAATTGTGCTGAATTCAGTTATTTGGTATAAGGTTGCATCTATCCTGACTTTATTTTCAAACCCAGAGCATTTGATTTGTTCAGTTTTAGCATGAACAGTCTTTCTCTTTCTTTCTTTCTTTCTTTCTTTCTTTCTTTCTTTCTTTCTTTCTTTCTTTC